ACCCAGCACCTCAACTACTGGCAAAGATTAAAGGCCCTAGATCTGATGTCATTGCAAAGAAGAAGAGAACGGTATTTAATCATCAACATGTGGAAAGTTCTGCATTGCAAGTGCCCCAATGATATTGGTATCCAGTTCTCAGTGACTCTCAGACATGGTCAAAAAGCAGTTGTGCCCGGTATAGCTAAGTCCAGCAGTCAAAGTAATCAAGCACTACATGACAACTCATTTGCAGTCACTGGACCTCGATTATGGAATGTAATCCCAACACATATGCACACCATTGAGGATCCTATGCAATTCAAAGCAGGTTTAACGAACTTTGTGAAGTCATTTCCGGACGAGCCTCCAGCTCCAGGATACAGCCGTCGGAATGGATACTCCTTGCTGGATTGGAGTGGTGACAAAACAGTTTCTATACTGTCCGGGGGTCGACTTTTTCGATGGCCCGATAGAGGATTCTATGAAGCCCTACAAAGTAACAAAGTAAGTAAAGCGGAAGTATGTTTGGCCGCGATTTTTTACATGGCGATGTGATCGTGATCTGATCTCAGGATCTAACTAGCTGGCCACTGAACAGTTAGTCATGTTATCATGTGACGTATTACGTGTGATCGTATTACAGATTAATATCTCTGAAACAGTCGATGTTATTTTTGCAGACGTTAAAAATGTGGTAAAATCACTGTCAACATAGTATATTTGTATTGTGTAAGATATCACTTGGGCCAATGAATGAATTCTTTGTGAACTATTTTTGAAGATTCAAATTTAATTCCAACTTACAGTACCTAACATTTTCAAATTTTAAAATAAGTATTGATCGATTAAAGAATGAAAGACACAACGATTTATCAATAATGAATTACAATTAAATAAAATATTTAAAAATAAACTGTTAAAACACAGTCACATATAATCGCTCCAAACAGATTCATTTCTGCAACATATCCAAAATAGTTTTAGCGTCTTCAGGACTCTGAGCACTCCTCCTCTTGTGTGGTATCACGTGACCAGACACTCTCTGTCTCCCTCTCCTGTTCTTGAAGAAGTTGGATACTTGTGAGTAGGACAGTTTCGCTTGTCTGGACAGTTCACGCTTCTCTTCTGGAGTGGGGTACGGGTTCTTATCGTAGAATTCCTGTAAGGTAGTCCGGGATGATTCCTTAAAAAGGTGTCTGTCAGCGTCTCCGTTCCAGATGGTAGGGGGGAATGGGTAACGCTTCCTCAACCTGTATCTGTCCACTGCATTCAGGTTCTTTCCTCTCCGTTGCTTGGAAGCTCGCTGGTAGGTAGATTGCTGCCAAATCTCTTGAAATTGATGGTGAAGACGTTCAGGTTGATGGGTTTGAGAAATAAAGTCCAGGACTTCGTCGAAGAGTCCATCTGCAAGCATCTCCCTAGCTGTGATAACGGCTGAGTTCTCTGCGATCAAGTCCAGGAGGTTCAGTTGGTCGCTGGAGTTAGCGGTCTGATTATGTTCAGGGTTGAACAAATGAGGGACTTCTCCCGCTGTTGGAGATTGTAAGAGTGAAGCTAGGTCTTCAGTCGGGAGGGAAGGGGTGATGTCCAGTATTTCGTAACCAGAGTATCCAGAAACAGGCGGGTAGGACTGGTCGGACAGATAGCTTGACGTAGACTCCTCAGAAGAAAGGGAGTTGTATTGATACTGGTAGGGAGGTGGTTGTAACTGGATCTCGTCCAAAGCAAGAATCTCTGTACATAAGTTTTGTTCCAGATCGCCAGAGAAGCTAGGATAAGAAACTGTAGGTGGGGAGCTGGACGGGGTTGGATATCTCCAAACATCGTCAAACGTGAAGTACTGAGCTTGAGAAGGGGAAGTTTGCGGAGTAATGTAGGATTGTAGTTGATCGTAATCAGGGAAGTAGGTCGGTGTAGACTGGGACTGAGGTTGGGATATTTGGATTGGTGACAGTTGCATCTTAAATTTGTTGGTTTTCGTTGATGTTGTTGTTGTTGTCGATAATCAAAACTGGATGACGATTCGAATACGTCACCAATATTTATACAAATCGGTGGTATTTTTGCACATGGGTGATTTGATTGTTCAGCATGTCAGTAACTTGAATCTGATCACGCTGATAGGAATTCGTCACCTGATCGCATGACATTCGTCAGTATGGCTGGAATTCGCAATGATATTCTGCACTGTGCGTTATGTTGTAATATGACCATTGACTGATTGACTATCGTGTCAGATCCAAAGATCAGATCGCCTAAATTTACATTGACTATATCATACCGAATCTTGATTCAAATTGGAATGTGCTAGTCAAATGAATCGACATGATAATGAACAATAAACGGTGAACATTATGATATTAGACATTCCTCATGAAATTCCTGAATTGGAGATCGAAAATGTATCGTCGATTGGCTTAAATTGAATTATGATTTTAGCCATCCCTGAGGCAAAAAATTATGATATTAATTCGGGTTTTCTTTTGATATGTTCATAATTAGCCCATATTTTGTCGACTTAACGTCATTATCATCGTCCTACTTAGTAGGATCAGAGACTATATTAAAGCGTTAGTATATTTGGCCGCGATGTTTTACATGCTGCAACAAGGATAACGTTCAAGGCTTAGAATATCTCCCCTTTTTCGAAGGAACAATCATTGAAAATGAAGAACACTGCCTCACTGAATGTCCAATGTACCACTCAGCGAGACTCTCACTGTCGGAAAACCTTAAGAGTCTTTTGCTGCTCAAGGAATACGGAGCTATCATGAATTCTGCCCATGTGCAAGAACTGGGCAAATTCCTTTGCAACTGTCACCGCATCAGGAACCCGAAAAAGACGCCAATACTGCCTGTCACCCCATCAGGACTACCAACTCAACAGACATAATACAGATCAACCATCATTATGCAGATTTCACGATCTGTTGTACGAGGAAGGAACACTAGTGATTACTGTTTCCAGTACGTTGTGACTGTGAGTGGGAGGTCTGTTTGAGTATGAATGTGTCTTTTGTGGACTCGAATACTAATATCGCAGTTTAGTGACCATTGAAGTTGCCTTTTACTACTTCCTCTTATGTTAAATTATTATTTCAGCAATTATTTCTATTTCGGTTGTTTGTACGGGAGTTAAATTTTAAGTGATTTTGTTTTAAATTTTCATGATTCTTGAATCTCGAATTTTACTTACTCTAGATATGTTATTCATTCATGTATAGTCGAGACGATGGTGTTAGTGCCATCTCCGACAACTTTACGTTTAATTCCGTTTAATAATTCCGTTTAATTCCATGGTGATGTGATCCAACTGTCGTGATCTGATCTCAGGATCTAACTAGCTGGCTAGTGGACAGTTAGTCATGTTATCATGTGACGTATCACGTGTGATCAATATCTCTGAAACAGTCGATGTTATTCTTGTGATCTGATCTTTAGATCTGGCAAGCTAGTCAATGGTCATGTTGCAACATTACGCAAAGTGCAGGATATCATTGCAAATTCCAGTCATACTGACGAATGTCATGAGATCAGGTGACGAATTCCTATCAGCATGATCAGATTCAAGTCACTGACATGCTGAACAATCAAATCAGCCATGTGCAAAAATACCACCGATTTGTATAAATATTGGTGACGTATTCGAATCGTCATCCAGTTTTGATTATCGACAACAACAACAACATCAACGAAAACCAACAAATTTAAGATGCAACTGTCACCAATCCAAATATCCCAACCTCAGTCCCAGTCTACACCGACCTACTTCCCTGATTACGATCAACTACAATCCTACATTACTCCGCAAACTTCCCCTTCTCAAGCTCAGTACTTCACGTTTGACGATGTTTGGAGATATCCAACCCCGTCCAGCTCCCCACCTACAGTTTCCTATCCTAGCTTCTCTGACGATCTGGAACAAAACTTATGTACAGAGATTCTTGCTTTGGACGAGATCCAGTTACAACCACCTCCCTACCAGTATCAATACAACTCCCTTTCTTCTGAGGAGTCTACGTCCAGCTATCTGTCCGACCAGTCCTACCCGCCTGTTTCTGGATACTCTGGTTACGAAATACTGGACATCACCCCTTCCCTCCCAACTCAAGACCTAGCTTCACTCTTACAACCTTCAACAGCGGGAGAAGTCCCTCATTTGTTCAACCCTGAACATGATCAGACTGCTAACTCCAGCGACCAACTGAACCTCCTGGACTTGATCGCAGAGAACTCAGCCGTTATCACAGCTAGGGAGATGCTTGCAGATGGACTCTTCGACGAAGTCCTGGACTTTATTTCTCAAACCCATCAACCTGAACGTCTTCACCATCAATTTCAAGAGATTTGGCAGCAATCTACCTACCAGCGAGCTTCCAAGCAACGGAGAGGAAAGAACCTGAATGCAGTGGACAGATACAGGTTGAGGAAGCGTTACCCATTCCCCCCTACCATCTGGAACGGAGACGCTGACAGACACCTTTTTAAGGAATCATCCCGGACTACCTTACAGGAATTCTACGATAAGAACCCGTACCCCACTCCAGAAGAGAAGCGTGAACTGTCCAGACAAGCGAAACTGTCCTACTCACAAGTATCCAACTTCTTCAAGAACAGGAGAGGGAGACAGAGAGTGTCTGGTCACGTGATACCACACAAGAGGAGGAGTGCTCAGAGTCCTGAAGACGCTAAAACTATTTTGGATATGTTGCAGAAATGAATCTGTTTGGAGCGATTATATGTGACTGTGTTTTAACAGTTAATTTGTAAATATTTTATTTAATTGATTATTCATTATTGATAAATCGTTGTGTCTCTCATTCTCTAATCGATCAATACTTATTTTAAAATTTGAAAATGTTAGGTACTGTAAGCTGAAATTAAATTTGAATCTTCAAAAATAGTTCACAAAGAATTCATTCATTGTCCCAATAAAGTGATATCTTACAAAATACAAATACCAAGTTGACAATGATTTTACCACATTTTTAACGTCTGCAAAATACAAATGTTGAATGCTAAATACTAACCGCCATGCAGATAACTGGATTAATAGTGCCATCCATTGCCTCGAAGAGGTACACCCCATTACCCATTAGAAAGGGTAGACCTGTTAACGCACATGTCAGTGTTATCACCAGTGACAGGATACTGTAAGGGATGTAACGGAAACCTCCTACCTCCATCAGGGACAACGTTACAGCGTTTACCTGATTAGAACAACATTTGTCAGGGACAACGTTACAGCGTTTACCTGATTAGAACAATATTTATAAATAAATAGGGTTTAATATTAACCAATGGCAAGAAGGCACGTGTGAAGTTCGCTCTTAAATTGTAGACCGATTAACAAAGAACAAATCTTAGTGTTGTTCGGATTCTCGCTCTTCTATTAAAATATCAAGGTTGATAATCTACATGACAGTACATGGAGTCAATGGATATAAGGACGAGAGCCACGAAGAAGAGAATGCTCCAAATATTAGGAACGAGGAAATAACTGAAGATGTTTGGGAATACAGAGAAAACCACACTTGCTCCTCGTGACACGAATACCTCTTGCTTCGTTCGTTCTGAAAACAACCGGAATATCATTACACGGAAGAATGTATGCTCAAAAAAAATATTCCTACATCTGAATATCTACATATTATATCATTTAGCTCAGTTAAATTGATAAGGTACTGCATATTGTATTTTAATACTCAAGAACCCTAAAAAATATACTCTGTAATATATATTACTATATACAGTAAAACCACGATTTACCGCGTCCCGATTTACCGCAAACCCCAATTTACTGCGGATGTTTCCTTTCCCCAAACTCCGCGGTAAATCGGGGTTTTACTGTACTCAGTACATTACTTACTCTTAGTTTTACTGTACTCAGTACATTACTTACTCTTAGTTTTACTGTACTCAGTACATTACTTACTCTTAGTTTTACTGTACTCAGTACATTACTTACTCTTAGTTTTACTGTACTTAGTACATTACTTACTCTTAGTTTTATTGTACTCAGTACATTACTCACTCTTAGTTTTACTCTACTCAGTACATTACTTACTTTTAGTCACCATGAGATGTCCTATAATGGCGTAGAGTATTAGCGCACTGACAACTGACACTGTCATGTTAAGGAAACCAATGAGCAGAGCCTCAAATGTGGGGTATCCCGGGTCCCTGGAACGGGCTTTAAATGTCATCAGGAGTCCTATTCCTACACCACATGTGTTCAATGTCTGAAATTTTAACGTCGCTCAAATTCAGACACCATAGAACCATGGTTATTTTGTAAGGATACAATAAGAGCACTATAATAAGAACAACCTAGCTGCATAGGCATGTACAATGTACTGTACACTATACACACCTTGTACACACCTTCCATAAACATTCACCTGGGACATAAGATCGAGCAGCATCAAGGGTACAGATATTCTGTTCATATCACCGAGATTTGGAGTTATAAACGTTACTAATCCGATAAGAGCTCCGTCCAGGAACAAAACTCGTACAAAAATAATCAGCAGGATCATCAGGGGTATCGTTACCGTTACATAGGATATCATCGCTGAAATAAAACATGCGCAGTTGCATTTAACCTGACATATTGTATTTGTAATCTCGACTTCTTCAAACTTTATGTGATATCGTGTTACTTCACGACGGTTTGTGGCGGTGTTTGATTTGCCATTTACACGCCTACATACAACGATCATGAAGTAAAACACTTATACCTCCTCCAAATCAACAGTCAGCACAAAACTAACCCGATATCCTCACGCCCCGGAGAATACACAGATAAGCGATGAACCAGGTGATAACATAACAAACAACCAGGTGAGTCTGGTGAGTTGGTTCTGGGTCTGCCAACCCTGTCGATACGTTCAGCACCCCTTCAAACCTGGCGGGGGACACATGAGGGTCACAGATATGATATTATTTATTTCGAAATTTTAATAAATAAAAGGTTCACAACAAAAGTTTTTAAAGGAATTTTACGAGAAAGTTGACAGCTTTGATGCTTTATTACTTCAATACAATAAATAAGTTTTATTAGTGTACTGGAACCACGTCAGCACAGTAAAAAACAGCTGTTTTATGTTTATAACAAACCAATAGTATGTGGAAGAGTCCTGGATACAACATGTGGACATGGTTCCGTTGATAACAGGACAAGTTGACCAAGGAGGGATTGTAGTCATGGTACCAAACGAGACGAATATGAAGTAAAGAGACCAGGCCATTATTAGAGGCTGGTACACTAGAATTAGGAATGATAGAACCAGTTGGGATACTCCGATACCTGTAGCTCTCTCCCCCATAGCATTAAAACACTTGATTGCACCTAGACGGAGTGGGTGCAATGTTTAAAAGTATATTCTATTGCTGATGATGCGATTGAGCGATTAAGTACTAAATAATTAAGACTACAATTATATTCCATTATAAACTGATAACAAGCTCACCAACTCTGAAGCGGACTCCAATGATTAGTTCCAAGTAAACCAAAGGAATTCCGACACTCAGAGTCATGATAAGGTAGAGCAGGACGAATATACCACCTGCAAGGTTTGTAGTTTAAACCAGCTTTTGTAATTCGACTTGGATCTTCAAATCCCATAATTACCGTTTGGATTAACAATAACAGCAGCTTTACTATTACAATTAAGCTTTACTATTACAATTAAATGTAAATGCTTGTGCCAAGTCAGCAAATTAGTTCTTATTTTGTTCAGTCAAATCTTTAGAAGAACGATTACAGATATAAAAATATTTTTTACAAAACACTTACTGTCATGTCCCATGACAGTGTACGGAAATCTCCAGATCTCTTTAGCACTGATAACGGCTGCTAGCACCGTGAATATGTACTGCAGAGAGGAGAAAAATGGTAATGAATAATAATGTGACCTGAACCTGCTGGACCAGACCATGACTAATTCACAGTTTACATCCTTGAGCTTTGTCAAGTGAATCCTGACAGAATTGATTTATGACTATGAAATATTAATTAGTATTTATGGTTTCTAGTCTCTAAATTTCTCAGTACGAACTCCAACCTGAGAGTAAGAAGAAAAGGAAGGTTTGAACTCGCGGAGGTAAGTATTTTCAGTTCCATGAGTGTGGTCTGACCAGACCGATCCAGCTGTGGAGTTGACATCACTCCCTGCTCTACTCGCCAAGTTGTGTCGGCCGCTCCCTGCATTAATGTATAAAACGTTTTAGAAGTTGCCTCGTATTATATGTCAGACTGTGATTGGAGACATCATGTTAAGTCGAAATTACGTAGGCAACATTGTCAAAAGTGTAGAACTATAAGCACAAAATTTAACTGACCATAAGAACCAGTTCTGAGGTGACCTCTAGATGCAGATCTAGCATTACTGAGACGAGGAGAGGATGATGCAGGTCTAGCATTACTGGGACGAGGAGAGGATGATGCAGGTCTAGCATTACTGGGACGAGGCGAGGATGATGCAGGTCTAGCATTACTGGGACAAGGAGAGGATGATGCAGGTCTAGCATTACTGGGACGAGGCGAGGTTGGAGGTAGGTTCGGGTTATAGGGGTTCCCATCACTCATAGTCCTGTGATTGCTATTATAATTCAATTAGACACACAAAGTACTCAATCAGGCAGTACAAACGAATCACAGGATGAGCTATGATTTAGGACTGTCAAACAGGAAATCATTCCATAATCCTGTCAATTCGTTTGAGCATTTCAATTATAAACAGCACAGTTCACAGACAAATAGTTGAAATACCATATAAACTCAAGGACAGACAGAAATGTATAATATTGTGCCGGCAACCAGCACCAGCACCTGATTTCATGAAATTGTTGCGGGGAGACTTTTGCTATTGAGATCTAGAGGCTAACTAAAGTACACTGTGAATAATATCCTGGATAAGATTTGAAATAGAGTAACCCTGATTAGAGACTGAATACTAATCATTCAGTAAACTCCACACGTAGCTGAAGACGATTTACACATGTATTTTAAATCGATTTACACACGTTTATGATTATCATTGAAATTGACCGAAATTTAAAAGTAGTCATATTGTATAGTTTATGAATGAGAATTAGTTTAAATTTAGATTCAGATAGGGCATGAAAACTGTTATTTAGACTGTAAACATTATTTTATTTTTCTTCCTAACGCCCAGGTCCGGTCCGGCTAAATCCGGCAAAACGGAAATCCGGTCCGGCAGCCAAAACCCGAGACCGGTCGGTTCCTAATCCGTAGTATGCATGTCCGGAACTTAACGTTTCACTGAAATTGTGCTATCATGATGGTAGCTGTTGTGAGTATTAGAAGCGTTTTACTATTATATTATTTGTGTTCTTTCTTGTTTCTCTTCCCTTCCAGCGATGTAGGTACGTAATGTTGAAATATATTATGCAGGACTGATATTATAATGTTCTTCACTTTAACAATTAGGTTCACTGTTTACTGCACCGCATGAAACCATTTACAATTTGACATAGAGGTCTGTTCAAATTATATAGTTTAACAAAAATTTGGACATTCCTTTATTATAAGTTCTTGAGTTATTGCAATGTTTTGTTGTAATAATTTTATAGGTGGGACTGGGAGGTCTTTATGACGATGATGCCCGCCCCGTTAACTAATTCTAAAGAAGTGACATGACTAAAAACCTTTGAACCGCCCAACCAAGGTGTAGTTTAATTACTGCAGCAGTCTATTTCTCGTTTGTGTTTCTATTATATTAAGTAATGAGTAATATAACACTCTTTGTTGTAATCATTTATACGGCAGTGCTACTGGCGCCATGACAGCTTCAAGCGGGTGCAAACTTAAAAAGAATGCAGTCAGAAAGAAAATAAAGCAGTACCAAAATAAATGTCTAAAGAAAGGATTCCAATCATCTATCGATTGCAAGACTGAAAGAGGAAAATTGAGCAAGAAGGTCACGAAGAAATGTCGCAAGCTCGAAGGAGCTTTGAAAAAGTGTGACTACTCCTGCCTGCCCCCGATTGATGGAGGTTGGACTGACTACAGAGAATGGACTGAGACAGCTTGCTCAGTGCAATGTGGGGGAGGACGTCAGATAAGGAGGAGATCTTGCAGTAACCCTGCCCCAACGTTTGGTGGAGCTGACTGTGTTGGCAAAGCTGAGGAATCCCAAAGTTGCAATACAAAAAAATGCCCAGGTTATTGTGAACAGATCACAATCATTTTGTTTATCTCGGAAATAAATCTCTTGTCTTTGATGAATAAAATGAAAAGCAGTAATTCTAAAACAGTTCCTTGTGGTTTTAGTTTTACAATTTACAGTCATAATTTCGCTTTACGTTTTCTTAAATCTGATACTTAAACATTTTGATCTCCTTAGACGCTACACCATTAGTGGACAAAAATGTTTGTTGGAGTGATATTTTTCTTGATTTCATATGTGCGCTTAGGGGGTAATTTGGTAGAAGGAGTTAAAGTTGAGAGTTTTAGGCGAGGTCAGAGGTGTCTTTAGCTTTTCTTTACTTTCGAGATAGAGGGGGGACAATTGAGACAAGTTCGTAAACTAATGTAAAGCGAAGTGGAGTAAAGTATAAATACTACTTGTCACAAAATGAGTCACAGTATAGGATTCTGTACCCTCAGTACTGGAACTTACAAACTTAAAAAAGTCAAACATTGGGACTTAAGAGTCAAGGCCCAAGAACCAAAAACCCAGAGCTCAAAAGACAAGAACCAAGAACCAAGCCCTAAGACCTAAGGCCTAAAAGTCAAGAGCCCGAAGCCGCTTATTGGATAAAAATACGACCTTATAAATAATTCCTTATCGCATTCATGACGTCATTCACGTGTCTGAATCGTAACAATATCATTATCAATGTCTCTGAATTCCGTGCACAATTCAAATCAATTTCTCTGATCTCGTTCTTAAAAGTGTTATAATTGTCTTCGTAAATCTCGTTGCTACTAAAACAATATTGCAAAACATTCTTACGTCCTTGTCTTTCAAAGGGATAACCTCCTTATCTTTCAAAGGGAAAACTCGTCTTATAAATCACGTTGCAAATACACAAAACTCGAACAGCATAAACTTGTCTCCGTGCGAATCTCCACAGTAACATATTTCTTCACACGATCTTATTACTTTAAAAATTCTAAAATAAGCGCACGTGAAAGTCTGATTTAAATTCCTGCAGGCTTGGATCATTAACCTGTAAATAATTCTAAAACTTTGTTAATTATCACCTTATCGTGAAACCTGGAGATGAGCCGACTGGCTCAATCAAAATACCAGTCAAGACCATTCAAAACTAACCACTTGGAATGCTCGAAATATCAAGAACTTAAATCTAAACAGCTTAAAATAAGGGTACAGAATCCGTGGGAGGTTCCGTAGTAAATGGGCTGTAAGTTTCAAGGTCTTTACAATAATTTACGATCATATTAAAATGTGTTATTTGGACTTAAAGAAATGCTCGAATCAGGACGGATATTAAACAGCGTACAACACTTCCCTCTTAAAAAATGCTAAGATTGATTCTCTCTGTACAGTCTTTCAGTTAAGATACAGCTAACAGATCTCATATCATATTACATGCAGTGTTTCTATGAATCCTTAAAGTCTAAATCACATGCTGCGTTATTAAAGGCTTACGATCATCGATGATAATATAATTATAACATGTCATATTTATCGGGTTTATAATCACGAAAAGTTACAATGTAATATCTATTTAGTTAAGGAGGCAATGTTTATTCATAACTGCATTAGGCAGTGAGCTTCAAGTTCATATATCAAATACTGTGTCTTTAATTCGCGGCTGAAATCTGCAGAGTTATTCGTTAGCTTTGTTTTAATCTTCCAAGCTTGTCCGATGTCTTTTCCGTGACTTTTTTCGAGGAACAGCTTGTCTAAAACTTGCTGGGGGTTGTTATAGAGTGAAGAAGAAGTAGTGAGAGGGTAGTTTCCAGAGTGGTATCGTTATACCTTCTGTAAGGTTCCTGTTACATAAATTGTGATTCTGCAACTATCATAATTTGCAAAATTACATCAATTCTTTTGGATCATGTCCATGTTCGACCAGTGAGTTATCCTCTGTTGTCGAACTGAAGAGTGGGCTGGAGGTTCTTTCAGGAGTGATTTAATGTCAGCTTCGGCTTGAACTTTTGCACTCAGCAACATTCATTAGACCTGTTTTCTTACTGTCAAATCAGCATTTCAATCGGAATGTCTAACTATTTATGGGTATCAAGTGCAACCTTTGTCATCAAGTTCGAAACAGTTAAAAGTTTCAGCCGTTGCAAAACTACTTATACCAACAGGTAGATCAAATCTTCCAAGTATTTACTACATGGACTCATCAACTAATGGTAGCAACTCCTCGTCAATGAATCACTACTTGGTAGAGTTAACCAGCCAGATAGGCATTCATAGTTCTTTCCGTCGTAATAAGTGTCTTTCAGTAACTTTCGGTGTCTTTCAGTGTCTTTCAGAATCTTTCAAAATTTCATGTGGAAAGGGAGACAGGACCAGTTTTGGCCAGAGTAGACTTGAGAAACGATGGAGCGAACAATGCAAATTAAAGCTTGGGCTAACCTTTGAAGAGCGAAAAATATCCTTTTTGGTCTGGGGTTGTACCTAGTTTGTTCAGTCTCTGAGCGGTCCGGGGCATCGTTTTCATTCATGGGTTCGCTGGTTGGTGCTTCCATTTCCATAACAGTGCCGAACATCAGTTTCGTCCTTTCACTTTCGTCCATCGGATCAGATATCTTGTGGTTCTCATCGTCATTGGTGATCTTTTCAGTAGCATTGCCGGTTCCTTTGCATATCAAGGTTCTTCTAATTGATATCTCTAGAGTGCTCGGATCAATTCGACAAGTCTATACTTCGCTTATTATCAACTAAAGCTAGCAAGTAGCGATCAACGTAACAACTGACAAGGGTCATCGTGATGCTAGAATGGGGTCTCTGGGAGGTAGATCACAGCTAGAGTATTTGCTGCGGGTTCATCAGCAAAAGCAGCAACTCCTTGCAATGAACCACTACTCTTAGCTGGGACCCGACCAGATGAACAATCACATTTGTTGATTTTATCACCATAAGATATCAGTCCTTGACATTTCTGTAAGTAAAAGTCATAATCCTTCAGGTGGACGAAACTAATTAGTAATTAGTTAGAATGTTAGATGTGGATCCTAACCTAGCTACATCAACTTAGGCATGTTAGTTTCATCGGGTTGTGCTTGTAAGGTATTGTTATCTAGTGTTGACTAGGAGTTTCAGCTTTGCGTTAATTTGTAGGGATAAGCTTTATTGTGTCAAAATGGCACACAATCTGCTTATTCGTTTCCAGGTGTTGTACCAGGTAGGTCCAAGAGGCTAGGACTTTGAAGATCTTCGAGGGTTCAAGGGTTCCAGGACTGTGTCAATTCTTGAATTTTCTGAAATCTGTAATGGAGAGGCTAAGAAGTTTCCACATAAGGACCAAGTCGTCTTCAACTCTAATGTAGCAAGTGGATCTCCCATGACTAATGTAGTAAATTATAACCTCGTTTGGGATCGGTTGGCTGAGTTCCAATAGACTGCAGCGTACAACTCAATG